ATATTCCTGAAATTTGTATCAATTAATTTTTTTCATGTATTTTGTAGTGAGTAATTGATTACAAAATATTTGTAATTAAGTTAATCTTTTAGTCGAAATTCGTTCGTGGGATTTTTTCCACAAAACTTTATTGATATGTGGATAAAAGAACTCTGGATGTGTATTAATTTCCGCCAAGTTCTAGTCACATGTTTGAAACACTTCCTTAGGTGTATATGAATCTTGTGTACGCGATGGCGATTCCGATACCATCTTTCATAATCTCGGTGATATACCTCACTATCGCCTACTTCAAGATCTACAACGAAGACGAGGTAGTCCTCGTAGGTGGTGAAGAGGGTGAAGAAGGGGAAGAAGGAGAAGGCGCCGATACACCCTTGCCACCCACTAGCGGTGCATTGACGCCCGGAAGTGAAGCTTTCAGGGAAGATTTAGCGAGCTTCGGGCACCAACTCAAGGTCGCAATGGCCGACGACATCAGCAGGGAAAGTCTTGACGGAATTCCTAACTCGCTCTCCATTCAGGGGTAAGCACCATTTCGAAAATCTCGTGGTATCGATTGAATTTGAGAACGGGTCAACATAAAGAGGCTATCCAGCTTCGCTATCTTACTTGTTGACTGTCGTTCGCTTTTAAGCATCTTTGTAGGTCTTCTGTAAGGCTTCGAAAATATTTTCTAATTGTAAGCATCAATAGGTATAATCGGTTTAACCACAATTGTCGACGACTTAAGAGTTATTTTCTAAAAGTAATATTAGGTGTAGGAAAAAGTTCGTGGCGTTTTTTTAATGCCATCTAATGGGAAAAACGCCATGAACTTTTTCCCATACCTAATAATAATACTGTTTGAGCCGGAAAAGCTACTGCATTCTTCCTTCCGCATAAATGTATCTGTAAAATATATATAAAATGAGTAATGTAAAAAGTAAATAAATTTTCAGAGACACAATTTAGAATAAAATGGAACTCTCTTCTCGTTCGTTTACTTATCTCTGCTTCATAATCACAGATAAGTATTTATGTTGTAAGAGTTAACTTCCTCCGTCTAAGTGCTTAACTCAGATACAATAATTTCACCCCCCAGACATAAAGTCGTCTGAATGAATCGAATGAGTCGACTCATAGAGATAGTGCACTGAGTGTATAAATGTCGTTTCGCAGTCCGCACGTTCAAGTATAACGTTACCATACTAGTATTCAGTCAATTTCCTTTGTGGTTTGCGGTATACCGAAGGTGTTCGATAATCCACCTGAACAAGCGTTCCTCTGTTCTATATAAAATTGATCGGTTGTGAGCAATCGAATTGGCGTGACAAGTTGTTCACAAACAACTCGAAATATTCATATATCTATTCAATTACGGAAATGTATCGTTTAATAATAACAGGTCGGTAAATTTTACAAATATTAACATTCTGAGAACATTGTACGTAAAGACGTTCGTTAGAACGTACACCTTTTAAGTGACAAATAAGCAATCAAACAATGATTATTTTATTTGTCATGAATGATAGAATACTTCATACTCCCATGTTTCATGCTAATAAATACGGCTCGAAAAAATGTCAAATATATTGTACGTAAAAATATATCAGATTACGTATATTCTTAATAATAATTTGATCTCGTGATAGTCGTAATCGAAGTATGTTATTCCGGCACGACTTTAATCGAGATTAAGGATGTATTACACATATTTTATTTTTAGTAAAATGAAAAATTATAAAAAAATTACTGATTTTTCTATATCATATTTATCATATTTATCATATTTATAAAAATAATATAAAAAGTTTAGCAATGATTTAGAATCTAGATAAAAAATAATTTCAATAAAAAGTAGAGAGACATGTTTTTAAAAAATAATTAATTAATCGCCACACGGGAACAATACTTATTTAAGTATAGCAAGCCCAAATCAATTGCTTATAACTTTCATAAAAATGAATATATTATAAATAATTTTTTAAAATCAAAATACCAGACATTAAAGAATATAACAATATCAAGCATTGTTATTATTAATCAAAACAATATAAGCAATAATAAACAAATACTAAAAAAGAATTGAAAAAGAAAAGTCAAGTAAGTTATATTGAAGAGATATTTAAGATTAAACGAGAAAAATTTTATTTAAACTATAAAATTGTATTATTAGATAAAAATATTGATCTTGTTGAACTGTTTTATATGCATATAACAAAGTTGGCAAGGTTACTTTATGAAAGTAACGAGTTACAAAAACGATTTACAAAAGGTATCTCGTTATTGTTATACAAAAACTAACGAGTCATTACTATTTTCGTTACTTTTTTCTTGATATTAATGTAATTATTAATATGTAATTATTTTATATATAAATTTTTGTGGTAAATATAAATAGAAAATGTCAAAGTCATTTCCTATAATAAAAAGTTTTTTATTATAGGAAAAAGGCTTAACCTGATAAATGTACATTAAAAAATTGAGTCACTATTTGATTTATGTCACTATTTTATAATACATTTCCATACATTTCTATTAGAGCATAGATATTAAAAAAATTTTTTTTAATATTATTTTTTATTAAATAACTTTTGTTAGATAATTATTTTTGTTGGAAAAAAGTAATTGTAACGATACAAGTAGACACACATTTTTATATGGAAAGTATAAATTTTCAATTCCATTCACTTTTTGCAGAAATCTGTAGATCTGGTACATCTTTAATCGTAATAATAATTAATTGTGGATTCTAAATGATCGATCTGCAGAACCATTAAAAAAATATATCAATATATACTACAGATATATCTTCCAATAAGATTGAAGAGAATTCCGAATTATGTAACAATCAGATTTTCGACAGAATACAATATGTGCGAATCGAATATCGCTTTCGTGGGCGTAGAACAGACATAGGATACATTTGCGGAAGATAAATTGATCTACGAATTCAGTAGAATATTTCTGAATCGCTGAATCGCGACAAGTACGCGACAGGGGCCATATGGAAATCTCTTCTCGACTTTTTGCAGTAACGTTTTCTTTTTAATTCGCGATTAACTCCATAAAAACAATTTATTTCTTAAAACGCTATCGACGTAATAAAATGATGGCGCAGAAAGTGCTCTCGACCAGACTACCGGCGCATCTATCTATAAATAGCGACTCGGGATGCAGGACGATATAGGTCGAACGACTGCGCGATAGACTGCGAGTCGCCACTTCTCCCACCATCATTCAGCAGCATATATATACAGAGTAATCTATCTAAAGTATTTTCTTGATTTCATCCATGCCGTTCAAAAGGCTAGCTGCGATAGAAGCAACGATCAAACATCCCTATTTCCTCATCTTTCTCAGGTCTCATCTTTCAAGCGGAAACTTTCGCAAGTACCGTTGTATGATGACAGCGAATTTGTTTTCGTAATAGTTCTACACAAAAGTGTACTTTTCTAACATTTCTCAAGAAAAAAATCATAAACGATCTCTGTATATGATGTGGAGATAATAAATCGGCAAACATTTTTAAGTAAACGAGCGTGTTCTACATTCGTAAATAATCCATTTTACTCTTGAAAAGGACTACACGCGCAACAATATTTGACTTGTTATATTTGTCAAGAAGATGTAGCAAGTATACGTATTCAAAGCTACTTATACTACTTCGCCCTAATTTATTCTGTCATCTATCAGCATGAGAAAGCGAGAGAGAATTATAATTATTCCGTGAATTGGAAAGTAGATGAAGAAAATAACTTTTGAAACTCCTACTTTCTGAAAAAACTTGTTCAATAAAAACTTTCTATGAAGATATATTAAATTCACAAATCTTTTCTACTTTCAATATATCAAAATCATTTCGTATTCACATCGAGATTAAATAATCTTTTCATCCCTCTTCTGAAAAGTCTACAATAATTACAAAAATCTTTAAATTAGCATATATTATTATAAAAAATTAAATTTGAACATTATTAGAGAAAAGCTATTAAACCTTGTAAATAAGATTTCTGAACTGATTTCAATCCTTACAGCACAAAGTTGCACAAAAATTGCAGCAACATTGCTGCAACATTATATTGTAGCAATACTGCAGAGATTTTGCAGAGATTTGCTGCAAATTCTATGCTGTTTGGGAATGATTGAAATTTCATTGCTTCGAAATGTGTTACAAAACCAATACCCAACATAGCAAATTACTTTGTTTAATTCACCTACTTTCCCTGAGTATATATGCTCGACGCATGCACGTTTCCGTGCGGCACGAGTTCGCACATGTGCTTATAATCAATCGCGAGTTAACCTCCGCAAATGTGGACCTGCGGTTTTGACGTTGATGCGGAATGCGTGAGAGAGGCCACGCTGAGATCAAGCAAGGACGCGAGCATCGATTCTGACCCAACCATTCAAGCCCCGCCTAACTCACCCTTTGCTTTCTCAGTCCTCCTATAGCTTCCAGCGACAACCCCCGCGAACTCGCCTACCTTGTCGAATTCTCGCGGTCTATTCGCGAATACTGCACGAGTTTGCAGAAACCGAGGTATTAAGGTCATTCACGCTCTATTCACATAGATGAGCAATTTGGAATATCAACGAGACTTCAAATTTACGAATTGAATATGCGAAATGTGGAGAGTGAACTAAGTTAAGATACACGACGAAGCTAAACTGATATTCCTAATTTTGAAAAGACAACATACTGTAATGTTGCAATTATAAATGCACAGTTAAAGATATATTATTGTATGAATATTTTATTTTTTAAATATAAATGAGAAAAGCAGATTTTCTTAAAAGTTTCTTAAAAGATGATTACGTTCATGTTACATATAATCTTCAATGTAATATAATTAAATTCACTAATAATTAAATTTAACTAATTTTTAAATTTAACTCATAAATAAGTCAATAAATAAGCTCGTATAACTTCAAGCGAATCGAAATAAATAAATCCGAGATGATACTCCTTAAGAAAATATTAAAAGAAAAGTTTCATGTTTGTGTTTATCTTTCAGAAACTTGAACAAGACGATGACGACGAGTATCTCAACTCCCCCTGGGCCGACGGCAGCAGTTTGAAGCGACATTTTCAAGGTCTGAATAATATCTCGTGGAGACCACATTAGGCGATAATTCATCGCCGTCCGTAAAGAAGCAAAGACGTTGGCCGAAGAAGCTTTTTTGAATCGAGGAAGGATGAGGAAGAGGAGCAAGTTATCTCTCTGTCTCAGGATCGATTAAAATCCACCCTCGCGATTCACAGAGTGAACCAGAGGCAAACTCGGTACTTTTTCGAGACATTCGTACGCGATTACACGGTAATTCAAGGAAACCTTTGACGAATCTGCCATTTCTCTATTGTAAAAATCTGTCCCCATTACAAGCGCCGACTACTACGTAACTTGCAGTTACGATATTTCGCGACGTACTTTTTCCTACTCGATAATAGCTCAATAATTGCGAAGTCGCGCGTATAACTCTGTCGCAACTCATGCCAGAGAGACAGCAGTCCCTCTTAAACGCGGTATCTTTAGTGCGATGCTCGTATGCGTCAGAAAAGTTCTTCATTTCTTGCAAATGTTTAGAAGTTGGTGGCGCAGTCGTTATACCGCCCGCCAAAATTGATTTACCTCGATGCCTTCTTCGTAGCTTGTCTAAGTACGATTCGCGATCCGAAATCAATTCGCGAATCCCGTGCCTGTATATCGCATCCTTGTAAACGAAGAATCTGTCCTTACTGTCGTATACGTAGCATTCAGGATACACCGTATATTTTTAAACGATTTTCCACGATAGTGGATATCCGCAATGGTAGATGATCGTTTTACATAAAGAAAAAATAAATCGATCGCTTTGAAAATGGCGGAAGTCTTAAAAGAAATTAAAGTCTGCACTATTCTCGAATTATAGAAAAATGTGTAATGATTAAGTTATAAATTTATATGTAATAAGCGATACATTTTCAACGGCGGATTATAAATTTGCCTGTGTTTTTGGAATGTACGTCTTCATCCATGCGGCAAATTGCGGACTTTAAAGAAGCTTATTTTTTACACGTAAGCTTAAACGTAAGCGATAAATGTTTTCTGTCTCGCAGCTCTCTCTCTCTCTCTATGCTCATTAACTGATTGAATCTCAAAGTTATTGGACTCGTGTCATTCTCAAAACGATTGATACAAATTTGCAACGAAGCGCATACCGAGTACACACTTTCTCTGGTTCATTCAACGATACGAACGGAACGTCCATCTAGGGAATGCAGAGGAGGAAAAAACGCGTGGCGAGGTTCTATTCGCGGCATCACGCGCTGTATATTAAAGTCACGAGTTTATATAGTTATGAACTTAAAGAACTTATCAGTAAAACTATGAGCTAAATACCGTTAAACGCTACGAGTATTATCAGGTAATTCGCTTGCTGTGTGATCATGATGCGTCCACTCGCGTGCGTCGTTAGACACTTTTATCAAACACACCGACAACATCACGTCCGTTCCACTTTTATCTGGCGACACGCTTTTGCAAATAAAAAAATGCGCGATTCGCAAGTGTCCACCCCTCCCCCCCCCGCATCCCGTTGCGGTCTCGTCCATGTACTATGATATCCACATGCACAAATGCACAAATTCTAACGGTTTTCAGGTACCTGACCGACACGTACGAAGAAATGTAGGTAATCGCGAATCTTACAATTGCTACATATGCGCATTTAAATCGATACAAGTGCACAAGGCGAAGGAACGTTCGATATATAACGGAGAGCTTTTCTCGAGAAAAATCCGAGATATGGCCTGTTGTTTTTAGGTGCGCTTTCTGCATTCAAACGAGGCAAATTATACGCTATTCCTTCAGGAAGAAATTAAGAAAAAAGAAAACAGGTGTTAAGAGCATAATTAAAAAGAGCAGACCTATTGTCACTAAATTGTTTCTTTTTCAACAATATGTTTATATATGTTAACTATAGTTTACTATAGTTTTTTACTTATTTTAATGTTATTAATTATATTTGACAAAATTGAACTGTTCTGCACACAAGTTTTAATGGGCATCCCTCAAGGGTGAAACATACTTCGAGCGCAATAGTTGAAAATAAATTGTAATCTCGATAAAAATAGCAGTCATAACAAAGTTCATGCTACTTCTCAGGCTTAAAAAGGACGGCTTGTCTTATTATCGTCTCAACGTCGGCCGTGAACATAATTAGCTATATACGCTACATTATGATTTTAGCGTTAACATCGCCTGGATATCGACCAAACGTTTGCCGCATGGAAACTGTAATCCTGGAAGTATCCAAGTAATACTTCGAAATGCCCGTGAGCATTTAGTTATAGCGTTTGTATCGAAAAACTTAGAAGACTTTACTGAAAATATATGAATTATTTGATTATCTACAATCTGGAGCCTCCATCTTTGAAAATATTGGTGTTCCACGTGGCAATAAACTGGGCGAGATCCGAAAAGACATGTAATTATCATTCCACATTTCGGTTACGTCTCTGGAATTCGTGCTATTTATGCAATCATACACACATCGAGCAATACCTACATACATACACGATACATCCGTGATGTAAGACACAGTGTATACACATCGGTAATCTATGGGGAAAAAAAGATAATTGAATTGTTTTTATGGATTAAGAACAAGTTGTCTGTGATCTACAATAATTAAAAGAATATTTAATAAGTATTAACAGATAAAAGTATAATTGAAATAATATCGATAATGTTAAACGATGGAGAAAAGAAATAACCGAAGGGCAATCGGATTTTATTGGTACAAGTTGAGCGCAGGTTTCTCATGGCATTGGTTGAGCAATACGATAGTAAGAATAAAATATCGCATAAAAAATTAAGATCACCGCAAAGGAATTCTAGAAGAAAAAGAGGTATATTATATAAATTATAACAAATAGAGACTTATACGATAGAGCACGCAACGTGTGAACATTTAAATCGCTACTGTTAATCTGTACTAACTTGCGATATAAAAAGCAAAAAAGGTGCGTGCTGCGTTCGGATAGTACCAATAAAAAAAAAAAAAAAATATATATCAGAGTATATGTTTGAGAGAGAGAGAGA